AATCTAGATTGAAAACTCATTTCTTTAGAACTGCATTTTGTGTTCAGTTTGTTGTCCTTCCCCGCACCTCCGATTTGCACGGTCGACTACGTGCGGTGCGAAATAAGTTAAATATACATACCTGATTGGGATAATGTCTGCCACAGCCTTGACTACATCGGAGATATTGAGGAGTAAAATAATATGTGGAGTAAAATTTGGATTTAAAGCTTTCGTAACTGCAGTGATTCGTATTCTTGGTTCTTTCGGTAAAGTCGCGTTGAAGAGAAACAATAAAATATATATATAAAACAATAAAATTCTCACGACGTTTCGCCTGCAACACAAACAGTCATCATCAGGTGTGAAAACCAACGGCAAGAATATTTATTTTTAAACGTTAGCACCACGGATAGCGATTTGACAGTTTGTTTAGATGCACGAGTCCATCTATGTTCTGAAAAGAGGAGGAGGGACACGAAAGATTAATGTATGCTGTCTGAAAGCCACCGTAAGCGTGAACAATCAATTAAGACCTGAAATGGTTTATCAAATCCTTCCAATGATTGCTAGGCCAGAATCCATCTTCTCGGTTGAAATTGTCTGTGTTTGTATATGTGGATAGCCTCATGAACGAATCTCTCATGGTAGCCAGATGGCTTGCAAAGAACAGCTGTCTTGGAGAAGTCAATGTCATGTGAGCCTACTGAATTATAACAGTGATCTGCCACGGCCGAGGTGTTGGTCCTACCGTGTTTATGGTCTGCTTTGTGTTCACGAATGCGGTCAGAGACATGTCGTTAGGTTTCTTCAATGTAACTACTACCACAGGCAACTTAGTTTGTAGACACCAGGGTACTGTATGTCCGGAATCACATCTTTTACAGACGGAACCAGATCACGGATTTTATGTAATGTATTGAAACGGACCTGGATCTTGTGTTTATTCAACGTTTTGGAGATCTTTTTTGTGATCCCCGCAATGTAGGGTAAAGTGATTGTTTTGAAAGACTCCTCAAGAGGGTCCTTCTTTCATGGTTTGAGTGATAGCTTTGCGGATTGTATAGTCGGAGTAACCATTAGCCTTAAGAGCTTGGTGTATGTGCTTGAGTTCACTGCCTATGTGTTCCTGGTCGGATATGCATTGGGCTCTATGGTGCAGTCTTGATGAGAGAATTCTTCTGTGATGGATGGTGGTGGGAATCCGGTTTCAGATAAGTATCCGTATGGGTAGCTTTCCTGTAGACAGAGTGACTCATTGAACCATCAGGTCTCTTTTTTATTAGGACATCCAAAAAAGGTAGCTTGCCATCTTTTTCGACTTCCATGGTAAATCTGATGGCTGGGTGTATGGAATTGATGTGGTTGAAAAATTGGTCTAGAGCAGGCCGGCCATGTGGCCAGATGACAAAAGTGTCATCCACGTACCTCTTCCATAAGGTTGGGCGCAGAGTGGCAGTCTGGATGGCGTCAGTCTCAAATTTCTCCATGAAAATGTTGCCTATAACTGGAGATAGAGGGGAGCCCATTGGGGTGCCCTCAGTTTGTAGAAAGTTCCATTCCAAGTGAAGTATGTATTGGTTAAGCAGTGTCTCACCAGGGGGGTACCTCAGTGTTTAGTCCTTGATGAACCAAGTCTTCAATGATTGCGATGGTGTCAGGTACAGGAACTTTGGTGAATAAGGAAACTACATCAAAACTGACAAGCAGGTCGTCTGGGGACAGGGAAATACCCTTGATTGTTGATACCAGGTGAGTAGAATTTTGTACCGCAGAGGTGGTTTTTCCAGTGAAAGGCCGCAGGATTTCAGACAGAAAACGAGCCAGTTTGTAGGTGGGGGAGTTGATAGTAGAGATGATGGGACGAAGAGGTGCATCTACTTTGTATTTTTGGTAAGCCGTATAATCTTGGTGGCCTGGCAGCAGAAGGTTTCAACGAAAACTATTTAGTTTGATCAATTAATGCGGTTGAATCAGAGATTATTTTGTTGGTTTGTGTGGCGAGGCTGTTGGTGGGATCTCTTTTTATTTTTGTATAGCTGCCATCGTCGAGTAATTATTTCATTTTGTTGTTATATTCTATTTTATCCTTGATGACAGGCATTGCCCTTGTCGGCTGAGAGGATTACAATGTCATCCCTCTTTTTTAATTTATATAATTCAAGACGCTCATCTTTGCTGAGGTTGCTAGCTGGCATCTTAGCGTTTTTGAGGGTTGCAGCGATTTCAGATCTTGCTACGTCTGCAGCGATGTGACCCAGGCCCTTGAGAGCCACGTCTACTTGGGCAATGATATCATTAACTGGTATGTGTTTAGGTGTGACTGCAAAGTTTAGACCTTTAACTAAAATGGATTTCAGACCATCGGAAATAGAACTGTTACTGCGATTAATTACAACTTTGTTAACGTCTAGCTTTTTGGTGTGTGGGTCCGGTCTTTTGTTGGATGACACTTTTGTCATCTGGCCACATGGCCGGCCTGCTCTAGACCAATTCTTCGACCACATGAATTCCATACACCCAGCCATCAGATTTACCATGGAAGTTGAAAAAGATGGCAAGCTACCTTTTTTGGATGTCCTAATAAAAAAGAGACCTGATGGTTCAATGAGCCACTCTGTCTACAGGAAAGCTACCCATACGGATGCTTATCTGAAACCGGATTCCCACCACCATCCATCACAGAAGAATTATCTCATCAAGACTGCACCATAGAGCCCAATGCATATCCGACCAGGAACACATAGGCAGTGAACTCAAGCACGTACACCAAGCTCTTAAGGCTAATGGTTACTCCGACTATACAATCCGCAAAGCGATCACTCAAACCATGAAGAAGGACCCTCTTGAGGAGCCTCTCAAAACCATCACTTTACCCTACATTGTGGGGATCACAAAAAAGATCTCCAAAACGTTGAATAAACACAAGATCCAGGTCCGTTTCAACACATTACATAAAATCCGTGATCTGTTTCCGTCTGTAAAAGATGTGATTCCGGACATACAGTACCCTGGTGTCTACAAACTAAGTTGCCTCTGTGGTAGTAGTTACATTGGAGAAACCAAACGACATGTCTCTGACCGCATTCGTGAACACAAAGCAGACCTTAAACACGGTAGGACCAACACCTCGGCCGTGGCAGATCACTGTTATAATTCAGTAGGCTCACATGACATTGACTTCTCCAAGACAGAGGTTCTTTGCAAGCCATCTGGCTACCATGAGAGATTCGTTCATGAGGCTATCCACATATACAAACACAGAGACAATTTCAACCGAGAAGATGGATTCTGGCTTAGCAATCATTGGAAGGATTTGATAAACCATTTCGGGTCTTAATTGATTGTTCACGCTTACGGTGGCTTTCAGACAGCATACCTTAATTTTTCGTCTCCCCCCTCCTCTTTTCTGAACATAGATGGACTCGTGCATCTAAACAAACTGTCAGTTCGCTATGTGGTGCTAACGTTTAAAAATAAATAAATACAAACCGCCACTTCTTTCAAATGTTCTTGCCGTTGGTTTTCACACCTGATGATGACTGCTTGTGTTGCAGTCGAAACGTTGTGAGGATTTTATTGTTTTATATATATTTTATTATTTTATTGTTTCTCTTCAACGTGACTTTACCGAAAGAACCAAGAATATGTGTGGAATAGTTGTGAAGTGTGGCGTATGACTGTAGTGTCGTGTTGTAGTATGGCATCGTGAAGCAGTGGTGTAGTTTGGTAGTGTTGTGTTTGTAGATAGTGGGGTGTAGTTTTATATTTTGTAGTGTAGTGTGGTGTCGTGGAGTAGTTTGGTGTAACTTAATCTGGTGTATAATGTTGCGTAGTAGTTTGTAGTGCGGTGTACAGCAGAATGCCCAATAATTGGTGGTGATACGAGGGCGCCATATCTCAAATCTTGTAGTGCATGGCACACTGGAAAAGAGCATCCTGGAAACCTATAAAAAAATTGCGCCAACGCGGTGGGCCACACATTACATGAGGAATTAGCTGCACTACTCCATTAATCAGTGAAATATTAGCAGACTACAGGGAAAGCATGTCATGACTAGTGGATCCTTTAATCTGATAAATTCGCGGATTAAGAAGTTACGTTTTATTCGAAGACCAAATGGCACAAACCTGCAGAATTGGTCTTTATTAGAGGACTTTTTATATTTTAGACTTGATACCCTGCTGGTTTTATTCCAGACATATCACGTCAGAAAAATAAATGTACGTTTTCTTAATTAATAAACTGTCATCATGGTCAACAACGGACTGAATTAGTTTGGTAACACTAGCAACCCATACATTGTTTGAATATGACCGTCCTTCCCTCCCAACCAGCCACCAAAACTTTAATATTATATAGAGCCCTGCCTCTCTCCATATTTCTATTTCCTTCTCTGTACTGTGTATCCTAATGTATCTCGATATCTTCTTTTGTCTCAGTTTTTTCATTTCTATATTCATCTGTCCCCTCTGCTACCGCTCCCTCTATATCCCTCTCCTCCCTCCACTCTATCTTACCCCTATCTCTCTCACGTCTCACCCTCGACCTCGTTATTCCCACCTCTCCTTTTGCCTTCTCTCGTGCCTCTCCCTAATCCTGTCTCCCCTTGCTTGTCGCTTTCCCTTGCTCTTCTCCTTCCATTTTGCTCTCTCTTTCCTCGACCTATTCTCACACTTTCACTTTCTCCCCACCCCTCTCCATCTCTTCCACCCTCCCTCACCACCCTCGATATCATAGTTGCCGGGGCAGGGGGGATCAGCAAGCATGAACCCATCTTTACGCAGTGGATTATTGGTGACATCATCACTCAGATGTGGGCAACCCACTGTTTGATATGGTAGGGAACAAGAACACAAAGCAACTTAACATCAATCGTACCAGAATGTTTTTTTTTTTTAGCTGGCACGTTCTTTTGATACGATCACGGCAGGAGAGATACAGGATGAGCCAGCTACATCCCATTGCTTTAGATCACTCCACTTTTGTGAACTCACTCGGCCCCTTTGTGCACTTGCAGCTGGTGCTGTTGTTGGCGGTGCTGCATGGCTCGTGCGATGCAGCTTGGGATTCGCCAGGCAAACATCGTGGCGGAGCTTGCGCCGAGCCCTCGGACAACAAACTACGGATGCAGCTGAGGAAACTGGGGCCCATGATCGCCCCGGGGATCGGAGGGAGCCGGGAGAGCAGCCTGCTGGTGGATGGCACCGAGGATGTACAAAGGCGTTCGTGCCCATCTGGAGCAACCGGTGGTAAAGGCAAAGACATCAAGGATCGCAGTGTTTCTCCCTGGTCCTTCACGTACGTTGTTTGTACGCCTTGAGAAGAGGGCCCGACACTCACTGGCTTTTTTGGGGACAAGAGTTGTTATAGCTTACCCATTTTTGTTATGAACCACTTGCACCAGGTGCCGCTAATCATTTACAGAGAGAACCGTAGCTTACAGTGGTCTATTTCCACAGTCACACATGACGTGTGCAATGAAAAACGGAGTAAGCGACAAGACTTCTGTTTATGAAGAGGTATTTTTGTGTTTGGCAGGTGTGTCCATGCCAGGGCTAAAATTGATTTTAACAAGAGTTCACCATGAAAATAAATGTTGGGAGTCACAGTTTTCCCACCACCTTGTTTGAATTAAGTAAACATTTCTGCCATGAGATTAACAATAATGTATGCAATGTGGTAGAAGTTGTTATACAATGAGATCTGCCCATAAACATTGGGAAGTGTCTTCTTGGCTGTGCACAAATTTGGTTCATCAACTTAGACCAAGAGAAAATTTCTCAAGGTATTTTTTACATTCATGTAAAATGCAAGTTTTCAGCATTCATGGATGCATAACAGGTACCAAAGTCTTGCAATAAAACTTTAGCAGGTGCTAAAAGACTAACCAGATTTACTCTGTTTTACAAAGCTTGGCTCATACCTTGCCACTGCTATCTTTATGACATCTAAAACAAAGCTAAATTCTTAGTTTTTTATGTTGCGATGATTTTCACTTATGTCTGGAGAAAACAACAGGTATTCTATATTACCATAGTAATTGAAAACATCTGTTTCCTGCCAAACATAGAATTTTACTCACCCAAAGATCAAATTGAGCCTGGTCTGCATTTACAATGACTGCTGTGTCTCTTCCCCCATCACATTCCTTTCACTGAACAAAAGTTAAACAAAAAACTATTCAAAATAATCCCTCAACAGCAAATTAGTTTTCCTTACAATGGTTACAAAGTGTTTTTTGCTGTTAATTTTAATCAGTGTCAAGTTCCACTTAACTGGGTACATCACATTTTCATTGGTTTTTTTTCCACTTCATTTGAATTTGTGAAGTATTTTATATTTAAACATTGTCACCTAATATTTGTACAGGACACACCTGTACTCAATACTGTACTTAATTTTTGTGTTTGTCATCTTGGTGACCCAGGTGATAATCTTGCAAATTAGACTCATCCTGGTCCCTTAAATTCTCATCTGGTTAAAGAAAATAAACATAACTTAATCGTACACTAAACCATAATTGAAATGTTTATAATTCGAATGTTTGAAGAATATAATACACTAGGCTTAAAGTAGCATGTTGTTTTAGAGGTGCAGTTATAAAAGAAAGCTGCAATTTGAGTTTAATTACGTGCATATTTGTTTGACACCATGTTTGACACCACTCACATGCATTTTGTATGTATGTTAAACTTCTTTCGCACCGTACTTAGCCATTCGTGCAAATCGGAGGTGCGGGGGAAGGAGAACAAACTAAACACAAATAAACTCCTTAAAAACGTTTTTTTTAAAACAACGGTTTTATTTAAAGTGCACTAAAAAGTAAATAACTCAATTGGAGAACGGGAGGTAGACGACATCTTGATTACAAGAGACACGCAGCGCCTGCTTTTTGTGCGAGCCGATTCCACAGTTTAGGGACCGCGGCGTTTTTCACCTACACAAATATATAATTAATTTGCCGTCCATGAAAAAATTGTAATTGCTTGAAAGGAGGCAATTAATTGACTATTTGATGCCGATTTTAATACAGGCATGCATTGTCACCGGATCTGAGTACGTGTGCAATATTAGGGATTTATTGGACAACGGGAAATGGATGAAATGTAGATTACAAGATTTGACCAAGACACAGGAGTCAAGTTAAGTAAAACCGTTGAAAAACTGTTCTTAAATAAATGAGTTTAAAATCTAGCCCCAGTGACTTCCTAACATCGGAAGAACATATTTGAGCACAAAGGAATTTGCTCGCTGTTTGTGTCACGGTCTTGCTCACAGGGTGAACCAAGATTCCTTGCGTTACCCTCGCCGAATAAAGGAGGCCTACTGTCTGTGCGACGGGTGTCTGCTGGGCCACGACGGACAGGAGGAGCGCAGCGTGATGAGCGAGCCCTTCTTCACTTCCATTCTGGTTCTGAGACGCACGAAGCGCTGCCACCACGGACGCTATGTTTACAAGCCGGACCTAGAGACAATTGCTCTCTTTTGCACGTGCAGTGCCCAGCAGAGATCCTAGATCCCGTGGATTGCCATTCTCCCCCACCGCAGGAGAGAAGGACCTGTGGGATGCATTAGCAGTGCTTTTCAATGTACCTACAGGAAATCCACTACGCACACATTGTGGTAGGAAAATATAATGCATTGGTTAGCAAGCATTTAGATTTTTTAATCAGCAAGAAAGAGTAATAATGGGTTTTGCATCTTTAGAGTTTTGCTCGTTAAAACAGATGTTAATGCTGCTTTGGTCATTCAAGGGACTGTTTGTTCTGTCATGTATGTCTTCTACGGAAGAAAAAAAGTTGCCTTATAAATGGATATTGATTGGGTTCCGGTGTTTTAAATCAGAAAATAAACCTTTTTGTAATATTTTTTTAAAATAGGCTGTTAAGTGGAAAAAAAAATCTGTACATTTCTTAAATGATTTAAACTTTAATGTGCAGATTAGTAACCATCACATGCAATTCATGTGCCAGTTGAATAAAGTACTTTTTAACCCAACAGTCATGATGTGTCGGTTCTCATTGTCTTAAACTTTGGTTATTGGCATACCTCTTACAGCGCTCAGGATGCGTTTTTGGTAAACGGAGCTGTGTTCCCGAAGCAATTTTTTTTTTACCTGTCAGCGATATACGAGGATTTAATTGGGGTATCGGTAAAGCCTTAATCATATGGTGTACGTGATAAGTGTATAAAAAAGCATGTTATGAATAAAAAAATGTTTTAATGAAAATGACTTGAAAAATATACAATAAGTTATATACTCACCAATGCATTCGGATTATCCTAGTAGCAAAAGTAGCTAAATATGCTATGGGACCCGCACTTTCAAGCTGTCAATTCCGGGTTCAGTGATTCTGCACTAGCTCCATTACGATAGTACTATACTGCCTTCAACGTTTATGAACGACTGGTTTTTAAGGTTAGCGATTTGTCGTATTATCTAGCTGTATAGAAAATGAAAAAAATACAATTACTTTACTGTGCAAGTCAAAAATACGTTTTTTCCCCCTTTTTCTGGCAACAAAACAGGTGTTAAGATGTTAAAACACCAAACTGAAACCTTTTACAAGGAATCATGTCTGCATTAACTACAATGCTTCTGGTCAGAATGCAAACAAAAAACTCTGTACGCCTTTTGGCGTCCTCTGGTCTAACACCGTTTGAGACGAGGCTCAAAAGAAAGCTGTCTCTGGTGTGGACCAATCAGTTTCAAGGACAATGCATAGATTATCAGTGTTTTTTGTTTGCATTCTTACCACAAGCATTGTGGTTGATGCAGACATTCCTCGTAAAAGGTTTCAGTTTTGTGATTTAACATCTTAACACCTGTTTTATTGCCAGAAAAAAGGGGAAAACCCTATTATATTTTGGTACTTGCAAAGGAGGTCCCATGAAGTAAAAAAATAGTTTAAAAAAAAGTTTTTTATGGGCCCCTTTATAACATATGCTACAGGCCCCGCACGAGCTTAATCCGGCACTGCATCTGCCATAGGCCGCACGTTCCGTGGTAAGCGTTCAAGACTGGCGGGCGGGGGCGCCGATTGGGTGGGTGCCAACGAGCGGTCACCAATCTCGCTGAATGAGCGCGCGGCTAGTCACACGCAGGAATTTCTTAACCAACGACGAAGGTGGTGAGCTCTTAGATTTTCGATTGTAATCCATCGCCAATTCATTTAATTCTCACGTGTGCGTGTAAGTGTGCGAACCCGGCAACCCGAAATTGATGACCACTCGCGGCAAACATCGGTGAGGATACCTGTACCAGTTCTGGACCACGGCTGAGGTGACTCGGCCGCACATGATTACTAACCCTCTTGCAGTGTGTAAAGATCACCGCTGGGTAGACGAAGGTGGCTGTGCATGGGACTACCCATGCTTACCCGCCTTGTATTCCACGTCGGCTTTGAAAGGCGCTTGCCCCAAAAGTCTGTTGACGCTATACGGGGTGGACGGGAGTATTTTCCTCCAGGACAAAGAGCATTATTTAAGGAAACTGCGTTATAAGGGGGCAGCACTGTATTCACATTGCAGGATGCATATGCCATAGTATAATTTTTATTACTGTATAATGAAACACTTTATATATCACTCCAATTACCGCATTTTCCCGCATCTAGCCCGCATACGCATATAACCCGCAGACGCATATACCCCACAAAAATAGCGTTTTGTGTAAAACAAATTTCAGATAGCCCGCACCTCCATATACCCCGCATGCATTCATATATTTAACATCGTTATCGGAGCTTAATTCCATCATTAATACGAAGTTTACATTTGTAATACATTCCACTATCAATTGTTAACATTAAAATCATAACGTGCACAAAGAAAATAAACTAACCGGAAACGAGTGAACTTAAAACAGTAAATAATTAACAAAAGTAAATATCCAATAAACAAGTAACATAACTGGTAGATAGGTAAGTACAGTTTTAGCACTGGTAGATTGCGCACTGCGCAGATAATAGCGGCACTACGGTAACGCCGTTGCCCCCCCTCTCCCCAGCTCTCCCGTCGCCGCAGCAGACCTTGCTCTGCCCAACCCCCTACCTCTCCCCCCAGCTTCCCAGCTCGCCCGTCGCCGGTAAACAGTGAGCGCACTTCAAACATTGTCGTTTAATACTCTTTGGTTTTATTCGGTAAAGTCACGTAGATAAAATAAAAGAAAACAAATCACGACGTTTCGGAGGCAACACAAGCTTCCTTCTTCAGGTGGAATAGTCAAAGCAGAATGTGTCAGGAGCACAGTTCAGAGACGACCGAGATTATATACAGGTTAAGGGAGGGGGGAGGAGTCAGTAAGGGGGCGTGGGTGGGTGGGAGGGCTGGGTTAAGCAGCCTTTTGATAGACTGCTGCGGGTAACAACCACTTCGCACTGCACGAGAGTGGGTAAAACCCACCTTTTGTTATGCTGCGTGGGGGCTCGGGGGGGAGGAAGAGACATGCTGCATTTTTTTAAAGCGGTGGCAAACGGTTGTTCAATTATAAAGTAGCTAAAGTTTGATATACATCCACTGAGAAAAGGAAATAGCTGTACAAAAAATTGAAAGGCAGCTAACGTTTGAATTGATTTATAACATCTTTCCAGTGATTGCGAAGTGGTTGTTACCCGCAGCAGTCTATCAAAAGGCTGCTTAACCCAGCCCTCTCACTCACCCACGCCCCCTTACTGACTCCTCCCCCCTCCCTTAACCTGTATATAATCCTGGTCGTCTCTGAACTGTGCTTCTGACACAGATATTCTGCGTTGACTATTCCACCTGAAGACGGAAGCTTGTGTTGCCTCCGAAACGTCGTGATTGAATTGTTTTATTTTGTTTTATTTTATCTACGTGACTTTACCGAATAAAACCAAAGAGTATGAATCCTTGCAGTCACGAAAGCTTCAAATCTAGAATTGTCATTTAATTGTACAAACAATTTAAAACGTGATAACGTGTGCAATTTTAGTGTGAGTGGTTTATTCAGCAGTGCTTTAGTCAAAGGTAAGTGTTGCATAGTGGATAGTCCTACCATGAAAAAATGTAACGAGTTGTCACACGTGTAAAATATTTTTGGGATAGCTCGCACCTCCATATACCCCGCAGGGTCTTGTTTTGTTTGTAAAAAGTGGCATACCCACGGGTTATATGTGGGAAAATAGGTCAACGCTGCCAGAATATATCAGTGAAAACTCCTATTGCCTGTGTCAATTTCACAGATACGAGTCCCAGTGGTAAAATCATCTGTTTTGACAGGAATGGTCGTCTTCACAAGATGTACTTTCTCCAGGTATAGCGTCCAATATTGTCCCATGTACATTTCTGAAACGGATGTTAGGTAATTACTACAGACTGACATCAGTAAAATCTCTGGAAATATTAATTGGAATGTTTTATTTATGCAATGTGGGGTGGATGTAATTGTATGGCAATGTACTCAGAAATTGGAAAGGTATGCCTTACCTGAAGATTCATATTAAGTAGATTATGCTGAATAAATATTTTAAAATGAATTATGATTATGATAAAATAATACTTAGATATTTTTAGACGTTGGGTGAATCTATCAGAGGCGAATCGAATCCAATAGGAATTTCAGCTCGGTATCTGCAGTCGAAACTAAATGACCAAAATGACAACTATTGCTTGAATTTAAAAAGCATATAAACAAATGACAACATGCAATAATGTAAATGCTGAGAAAAAGGGCTAACCTCTGAATAAAATATAGTTTGAAATTATATTGTATGTAAATCTATATAAAAGTTAGTAGCTTTGTGCGTGTGTCACACGGTCCTCGCCTCCAAAATGTAACGCGGTTTCTTTCCGACTTGTTGGTTGACCAAAACAACATTTACAATTGGGGATTGGCAGAAAGTGCCAGTTTTATACACCGTGCTTTTATGGAATCCAGTGATTGGTCAAATGTAAGATTTGATTTGACGTCTCCATTTAATCATGTACTGCATCTGTACCGTGTCGTAGGAAGGGGCATGAAATGTTGATACATCTGTAATGAGAGAGTGCCACCTAAGGGACGACAAATGGCTGCATAGTCACTGCTGGGTTACTCAAATCCAATCAGAGGGAAACGTTCCATCTGGGCCAAAGGTAACGGGCGGAGCTCGTGGGTACGTACGGGAAAGATCGAGAAGGTTCCACGAGGGGCGTGGCTAGAGGCGGAGCCTAGCTCCGCCGAGGGCAATATAAGGAGAGGCAGTGAGAGGACTCGGGGTTGGTGTTGGGAAGCCTGGAGTCCGGACTGCATCATCGCCTACCTCGTCTCGCCACCTGCCACGTGGCGACCTCTGCCAGCGAAGCCCTCTCTCCTCCCCGCGTGCCGCCAGCGAGTGCGAGGAGAGAGAGAGAGAGACGCGCCGCAACGGTGGACGAGGGAGTGCGCGCGTTACGGCAAGAAGAGAGAGAGCGGAACCATCCGGAAAGAGAGAGAGCGGAGCTGTGTAGTCATCTATTTATATAAAAGGGAAATTTGTGAATATGTGTGTCTGTTCAAAATGTTTAGCGTACTTCCCGACATGCAACAAACTTTAAATTTGCCACGTGGGTACTTTCCAGACTTATACCATGCAAACATAAAAAATAGACGTTTGTATTTTGGGGGGGGGGGGGGCGCAATAATGCATATATTTTGCATGGCAAGTGAGCTGTGACGTCACATCTGTCATGTCACCCGTGCATGCGGAAGCGTAACGCATTGTGCCTGCTCATGTCACCCCCCCCCAACCCTCCGCGAGTAAGTGCCATACAAATGTGTTGCAGGTCTAAGGCGTTCTTTGCGCAGCATTGGTTTATTATTTGAGTCATTTACTGCCGTACGCACCCTCAAAGTTGTGTGTGTCTGCAGCAAGCGCGTGTATGTGTACCTATGGACGCACGCATGTATGTGTGGGGGGAGCGGTCGTGTAGTGGTTAGCACCCTGCGCTACGAACCCGGCTCACGGCCAACACCGGTGACGATTATTTCAATATTTGAACCGGTCCTGGGCCTCCCCTAGGTC